ATATATATCACATTATAAATATTTAATTTACACACTAATACTCGCATTTCATTTGTGTTTGATTTAGTTTTAGAGCCACTATATAATATTATTACTATTTTATTTTAAAATATGAATTATAAAATATTGCTTTGTAAGAATATTGTTTCATATATTTTCTTTCTTTTTTATTTTTAATTATTCTTTACAAACTTTTAAATACATAATTCTGTCGAAAACCCGCAATAAAAAGCGTTATATTAATTAAAATCTTCATTTAAAAGAATATTCTCATAATATATAAACTACTTAACGAGCTTATTCCGTTTAATATTTGTTTCTATTTACTTAAATAAAAATTTGATTAAATTCATATTTACAATGTTCACAAATACTAATAAATATCCGAAAATAATCAATAAACAATACATTATTAAAAATAATAATTTTAATCGGATATAAAAACATCTCAGGTAATAATTTACTTAAAAAATTAAGTGATTATTTCCGGGTTAAGACGTCTTTTAGACATCTTATAAGACTTATGTCCCGATTTTTGGACTTTGTGTTGTTTGGATAATGTCGCGAATAATTATCAGTTTACGATAAAGTGCCTGTCCAATAAGACATGACCGTTAGCTCGAGATATCGCAATCTCGGGAGAGATTTATTGGAACCGCTGAATGATTAACTAACCAAAGTACATTCGCGATTGCAATTCCTTGATGGAGGGATCGAGATGGCGGAGGATCCTTTCACGGTCGGTTCGCGGCGACGTGCTCTCGTATGTTATGACAATTATGAGTTTTCCGTAGGGCCACTCGGGGGTGGCACGTGGCCCGACGACGTGCACATCGGCGAGGCGAAGGGGGAGACACGCACGGCGCGTGCCGCCGCGTGAGAACGGCCGCGCTCACACGCGTCACACGCACACGACGCGCACGTGTGTGCACGCAGTTGCGAGAGAAAAAGAGGAGAGATGAGTAAAGCGCGTGGGCTCCCGGGATTTACCCGCGCTCTTGTACTCGACTTCTCGGTGAAGCATCGATTAAATTTCATTCACGTGCGCCCACTCGGCCATTTACGTTATCACTGTGGTCAAAGAATAATTTGTTATTTGGATAGAGGCGTTTGTTAAAAAATGGTTTTGTAATTGTTACGATATTTGACGATAATATAATATTTAATTCTAAAGAGCGTGCAAACTGTACGTTTAAATGTATCGACAATATTGATTGCATTTTAATGAAACAAGAAAGAAAGAGATTATTTTGTAATAAAGAGATTATTTTAATGTTCATTTTTCGGATATATTGTATTGTACAGCACATCTATTGTTGCGAATGAACATGAAAGAATTAATGATTGCATTTGAAAGTCTCGGCGAAATGTTAAATTATTTAGCCTCTCGCTGCAGGAATTGTTAATGGATAAACCTTTTGACATTTCGAAATTTAAAAAAATGCTGAAAAATGGGAACTGAAACAGAAATGAGAATTATTATAAAATGAATAAAACCTTTTAATCCTTTTTAATTAATAATAGAATAATAACTGTATAAAATTATTGTCAAAAATAACGTAGAGATGCATGAAAAATAAATCCATAGCAATTAGTTGAAATAATAAATGCGGTATATCGAGTTAAATAAAAATTTAACAAAAGCCCTAGTAAATAAATAAATCGCGCCACACATTTTATATCGCATACATATATGATTCGCGTTTCATGCTCGAATCTTTAGCGACAGCACGAAATTGTTATGATAAAACGCCCGATCGTAAAGTGAAATTCGCATTTATCGCCGTCCTTTAATATTTCATCCTTAATTTTCCTCCCCGGTGAAACTTCTCTCGTTTTACATCTGACGATATCTTGCGAAACGTACTTCATATTTGCATGGGTACGTGTGATGGTGCACGTGCGTACACGTGCACGCGTATGCACGCGCACATGCCGACTCGTGCTTTGTCCTTACTCGCGTACTGCAACACGCACTTACGCAGCACAGGTGCGTAAATCGGAACTATTCGATAAATAATTCATAAACAACGATAAATAATAGCTACGGATGAACGAAAATTAATTAACTCTGTTCGCTTAATTGGAATAATATTGAACTTTGAACCTTTAGATTTCTAATGTCGTCAAGCCACATTTTCTCAGATTTAAATTTAATGTTACGTAATCGCCCGGGAAAAAAAGTTTCATATAAAATTATATGTAATTATATATAAAATATGTCCATTTGTATACAGTTATATAAAATTATATATAGTTTTATATAATTTTATATAAAACATTTTTTCCTGGGTGTACTGAGTTTATAAATGTTTTTTCGACATCGCTGTATTGATCAAAAGTTTTAAATTTAGTCAAAATTAACAATTTTCAGCAGAGCATTTTTTTAATTCTGAATTTAAACAACGTTTTAATTAAGACTCCCACTCAATTATTACTATCCAGAGTGTGACGTCAGAAGCAAAAAAATATGCAATATAAATTCTTGCAAAATATATTAATATAAAAATATGTTCAACACACTATACTTACAATTGATAGAACTTTTTTGTCAAATATATCAAAAGCTCTCCTTTTCGTTCTCAATAGTTGAGTGAGCTCTTTTTGTTATTGATGTATTTCTTTAGATCATCCAAGACCTTAGATCTAGAAGAATACATAAATAGCAGCGAGTTTTCATTCAACTGCTAAGTTTGCTCCAAAGGAACGAATCCAATATTAATAAATAAATATGTATGAAAGTTAATTTGTTTACGACTACGATAAACTATCAAATTAATATAGAAATTATTAACATCGAAATAAACATATAATTTAATTCTCCCTGAAACGAGAAAATTATTTTCGGTATATTTTATGTCTATTCTATCGACTGCAATGTTGCTTTATTCAAAAATATTTTTATTCAAATATAATTTGCAAGAACTTTACGTCACAGTCTAAGACAATAATGATGAGTGAATAGGAGCCTTGATGAATATGTATAACTTTACTGACTTTTCATGTTATAATATTTTCAATTATATTTATTCAATTACATTGTTCAACCCAATTTTTTTTCGAAATGCTACTTTTTGCCGAAATGTCATAATGCATGTTTCGAAGATTTTTTCGCGCTAAAAACGCTAAAAAAACAAGCGGTTGGCAGAATTGTTTGCATAGCACGTCAGAATTTTGAGTAAATTGAGATGAAATTGATAAAAAATGACGTTTCCCTGACGTGCTATGCAAAAAATTCTACCAACGGTATCGTATTTTTCATAAAAAAAATTTTCCGGGAATGTACCATGGCACTTCGAAGAAAAAGTGATTTTTTGCTGAATAATGTTTTAAAATGCATTCTTTAAAATTACGTCGTTGTTATGAGTTTTCAAAATTCAAACACTACAATCGCAGTGCTAATTTTTTATTTGTGTTACTTTTCTATGATACGTGCTAATATAAGAAAAATTATAATACAATATAGACATTGAGATATCATCATCTATAATGATTGCTACTTGAATTGAGGATGAATTAATCGATCAGAATCTAATAAAATTATCACTTATATCAGCGTTTCGTCAATCAACGATTGCCTCTCACGATAGATTTTCTCATTCAATCACTCGTGCATTAATCCAATTCGTTCTTATTCTCGCCTTTATTCCCCACGGATCATTGAGCACTCGTTCTGTCCCATCGCACAGTGCATTGCAGCGAGGATTCGCACGCACGCGTATTCCTTATCGAATTGTGCATTGATTAATCGGTACCTCGCACTCTCTGGTTACGGACAGATGGAACCGTCTTGGTTTTCTTATTTGTTACATGTACTTATATTTTAAGGATGTATTAAGTGTATAAAGTATTAAAGATTAATTAAGTGTGTGTATTTGTGTAATCTTTCCTACAAAAAGTTACTGGAATTGAAAATTTACGTTTTCTGTATAAAAATGAATGTTAAATACATATGAAACAGTTCAATAAAGTCACTGCTAAATCATTTCATAGTTTAAATAAAATATATCTCATATTTTATCTTAATTTTTTACATTTTAAAGTGTTTACTTCTTATTAAAATAACTTTTTATTTAAATTCTAAATCGGAGCTTATCTTTTTTTGTATTATTTTTAAATACATTATAGAAAAAGCTGTAATTTTTAATTTTGTTAAAAAATACGTGTAATATATTCTTAAATGTAATACCAGCAAATACAGCACTTTCTCTATCATAATATTTTATAAAATATTCATATTTTATTATTTTTGTACATATTTTTGTAAACGTTATGAGAAATATTAGAGAATTGTAATATTATATTCAATTTGATTAATTGATTACTTTTGTATTAATATAATTAATTAATAGAGGATGAAAGAAATTAAGCGAATGTTTGAAGGAACAAGAGAAATGTTAGCTTGGTCAAAAAATTAGAAAAACTGCATTATATAAAAACTGCATTATAATTGATTGTGAATATATATCACATTATCAAAATTACGAGTGGCCTACATTTCCACGATGAATCTTCGTTTGCATTTATGGCAAACTTTATTTATTATAATTTATGCTACAACGAATATACGAGTAATACTATCGCTTTAGGAGCAATGAATTTAAACCTGAACTCTAACCTTTCGTATGAAAAAAAAAAAACGAAAAAGAAATCACGATAAAAAAGGATTTAGAAATAAAGTTGAATGCGGCAAAATGAGAATTAATCTCTCTTTTCCAAGCGAGAATTCTCTATTCTCATATTAATAAGCAGTTCATGTATATCGAATATCAGCAACTCAGACGCAATTTGTGAAATGTCAGATAAGCAGACGTTTATCCGTCGCATTTAAGACCGTCAATTAAAATCAATCTAGTCGGAAGGGTGATGCCACCGCGGAATGGAAATTACTGTTGCGTCAAGCTGGGCGTAATTACCGGTTGCTCATTAGTTTCCATCTCCGCGAGGGTTAAGTGCCTGGAGCACGCCACTCCGGAAGTCTTCCCCCGTAATCACGACGAGGGGGTTGCGACGGGAGAGATGCCGCGGTCTCGGGTGACTCGGGGATGATCGTGCGGGATCGGAGCACGGGACGTCGGTCGGGGTCATAAATGGGGAGGCGCGGCGTTCCGGAGCGGTATTTCGTCGCGTGACGCCGTTGCATTCGCATCGATCCGCAACGACGGCGCGAACGTAGGCGAACCGTAAGGGCGCGGATAAGAGAGACGCACACGAGCCGAAAATCAATCCCGGCGCGTGTCAGGTTCTCGCGCCCGCGGCGTCGAAGAACGATCGGCGAAGAGGGTTGTTTCCTTACGAAGCGAGGGTGACGACGACGTGCGGGAACGAAGATCGGCCGCGATGCTGAAGAAATTCCTCGGCAAGTCCGGCCGCAGAATTCTGCGGGTAAGTGGTAGTCCCCATTTTTTTAACTAGACGTTCGACGGACGATCGACTTCTTCAGGGTATTGCTCGTTTCCCTGATCGCTGCATGTTTCGTGGTGCGACCTAATTTTTACCCCATAAGTGGAATTGTGGAATCCAAATCCATCGTACCGGTCTTCGCTCGACGAATCACTCCGGTTTGCTTTGCTTCATGTAGCTTGAACACCGAGTCTTATCTAATCCACCCTCGTGCTGTTCCATGTGAGACTTTAGCGGCACATATGTTGTGAAAGATTAAATCAAACGGTGCTGTTTACGTCATTCCGCCTAGGCGTGAAATTTCCCCGCGTGACGGTCAATTATTACGGATCGATGTCCTTAAGTGTCGTGACGTGTTGATGAATAACTCTATCGTGTAACTAGCTTTATTAGCTACGTAATTCGTGACGACCTTTTTCGCGACGGGATGTACTTTCTTTTTTCTCACTCTTTCTCTCTCGTTTTCTTCCCTCTTGTTTCTTTTTGTTTTCCCTCGTTATTCATCAGAGCGACCTACGCTTCCTCTTTTGTAGGCAATCAAGAAGCTGTCCACTAGAAGCCGCAAGGCCAAAAGGTCGCATAATCCCAGCTCCTGGCACACGGCTATTCCGGACCTCGAAACGACCTCGCTCTCGTGGTCCCTACCGTCCCTGGACGCCAAAAGTATCGACACGTACATGACGTATGTGGCCGAGAACCAGGAGGACTGCACGTCGAACTGTTGCTGCTGCGACGAGTACGAGGAGAACCAGAGGAATGAGAACAGGGAGAACGAGATGATAATCTAACGTCCGTGCCGCTAAGCGACACGGACCGGCGCCCTGCTTCTCCCCCCCCGGCTCGCGATCGCGAATTCGCCGGCGATCATCCCCGAGAGGGTGGAAATGAATCGCACTCGCGCCACTCGATACGAATATTTAACCCTTAACTGGTGAGTACGAGTACTCGTCTGGCATTTTTTTTCTTCCTTTTTTTTCAAAGAATCTCGCGATGGTTAGTGCAATAGCTGTACCAAAGAGAATATTTATCGGAAACTTGTAACTGGTTAAGGGTTAATCACGATCCCTCCGTAATCCGTGCCACACACAACACACACACACACACACACACACATCACATACAAACATACAGAAAGAACGGTTTTGTTGAAGTACGTAAAAATTTAGCTAGACTGCACAAATCTGAAAATAATTTTGTTGATCTATCAAAATAATTACATGAAACACTCAAGCTGATTGTTAGAGTGTCAAAACTTTTTGCAGCATTGATTATCCATGCTTGCCCATGCAGCGTAGATTTATTCCAGCAATGTTGCAATGTACCAGAAATGTTTCAGTAACATCACGACGTTCCAGCAATATTGTAGTAATATTATAACATTCCTAATAGCACACTTTATCCGGGATAGATCTTGGAAATATCCTCAGGACGTTCCCTGAAGATCTATGCTGTTAAAGATTGAAGTATCGTTCTATATAGAGAAGTTCCATAATTATTTTAATGAAAATTTCCATAATTATTTTAATGGTCCGACCAAATTATTTTTAAATTTTTAGATTTATTTTTAGATCTACCTAAATTTTTAGATATTTTAGCAAACTCGTCCATGTACAAGCGCATACACATACAAGCACAGACATACGGGCGCTTTTACGCGCTCCTTTATTTTTCGATAGATACATGTCGCACGTCGAAAAGATGAAAAATGCTCTGTGGCTGGACCTCGGATTATATTATAGCCGTATATCTCGATCGATTCCCTCGGCGTATCATTGAGAGATAAGAACGCAGTGGAGAGACAACGTTTTATTTCCGGTTAGTCTCTCTCTCTTCCAATCTAGATTTATTTTCTAGCGCCGATTTGTATTTTTCAGCGATCTCATTTAACGCCATAATTTTATAAAACAGACATATCTTATTATACGTACTTATTTATTACCACAAATCGCTGTTACCTGATAAAATAGCCGTGATTACAAGCGCAGTCATACATTGACAATTAAGTTGGTCCACTTGACGATCCAGTTCTGGCACCAATGGTGGATCTTTTTTTCTTTTTTCTTTTGTCGTTTCTTGCACTCAGAAAAAAAATAGCGATGACAACTATAGTATAAAAATGGCAACTATACGAGTTTTATACAGGGTGAAGACAAACCTATAGGACAACTGAATGGAGTGGTTCCTTGTACAAAAATATTTTAGTTTTATTACATTTATCATTTTTCAACGTAGTCTCCTTTTAAAAAGTCACTGATTTATCAAACTATCTATGCATAATTATCGCAACTATGAAATAATTTATTCAATTACGTATGTTAATTTATTCAATTATGTACATTAATTCTACATACAAAATTTGTAAGTTGTCATCTTTGTAGTTGCCACTACTATGTTTTTCTCTAAGTACATCGCGCAAGTAAGGAAAGGAGCAGCGCGACGCTCCGCTCGTCATCGTCTCTTTCGACATAGAGAATAGCAATATGTGACGTAGTACAAAAAAATATATATCGCCTAGCGTGTTATCGACAACCGTTCGCGCGCGGGAATGACGTCCGAAATAGATACAATTAGGACTTTTCCATCCGCGCGGTTTTATCATATCGGGTCTAACTCGTGGATCACTATTTTGCAATATACTGTTTTCGATGTCACGAACTGTTTTGTAGACGGTTAATTATTTATTCTCGCGGCTCTCTCTCGCGAGTCCCCCGAGTGTCCTAGACACGGGACATCCACGGGTCCTTACTGTCCAGGTAATTTAATGGGTGAATTCTAACTAGAATCGTAAAATTCGAAACTTGTTCTCGTAAAACTTGTAAAACTTGTGACTAATGTTGTTATTTTATGCATATGTACTCTAAGACGTCGATCATTCGTAAATATTTACGATTTCTCGTAAACTTTACGGCCAACAGAAAGCTGTAAATTGCTGTAATATTGCATAAAGTTTGTAAGCACTTGTAAATTCTTACCTACAAGTCTTAAGGGCTTTCTGCAATAAGCCATTGGCTAAGCTTTAAGTTTTAAGCCTTAAGAAATTAATCAATCATAGTCGATTATTTTTCGCACATTCGAGTGTGATTAGTTAATATTTTATGGCTTAAGACTTGAAGCTTAGGTGATGGCTTATTATATAATAGGCCATGTTCGTATATTACTGCCAGTACTGAAAGTCTATAGTTCCCGTTACATATACTATACTGTACTAACAACTGGCTGTAATATACGAACACGGCCTTAGAAAGCCTATTACGAGAACATGTTACGAGCCTCATGATTCTGTTTAGAAATGATCTGTAATTCTCTAAATAATTGTAAACCCCAGAGGAAAGAAACTTCAGGGGACGTTAGACTATAGCGATTAGACATGAGATTTAGGGTAACGAGGAAAATTAAAACTATTTACTTCTTCACTTAACTTAAACTATGCACTGACGCATATCTTTCTGCGGCACCCGCGGTTGTATACGTATCGACGAATCAAAATGTAAGATATTAGATCGATCAATCTTGAGCAGAACGCTCTGAATGTACTCCCGTTATTTATCAGGGATGTAAAGATTTCTAAGGGGACTGTCTCCGAACTTCTAAACTCGATGTCGTCACTTTTACGCTGTATAATCGTCCTAAGTGTTCAATATTTCGCGCGGTCAAGGTGCATCCGTTAAATTAGTTAGCCGATACATTCGACCCTCGATACAGGTAAATCAGATTTCAATTCTAAGGACAAGAGTACACGATAGATGTGTCGGCCGATTGTTGTGTTATTTATGAAAAGTCCATGGTAATGTATGTAACATTACCACACACGTGCCATACAATGCCCATACAACGTGCATGTGTAAAAGACATCACAAAGATATCTTTTGAAACACACATGTCTGAAAGATATCTAAAAAGCATCATAAAGACAACTCCTAGACATTGCATGTTGTCTGAACATTACATGCACATAAGTACAACACAATTTTAATTAAAGCTAATTATCTAAATAGTTTGGAGAATTAAAAATTAAACAAGTAACAAAAAAGGACAGTCAGCCAAGCATAATGATAATGTTTATCTAGACAAAGTGTATCACTACATTATAATTTTTAATTTCTTCCAAATGTTTTAAACAATTTTAATTTATGAAAAAAAAATTTTAGGCCCATTTTTATCCATACATAGCGCGCTTCGCGCGCGCTACAGAGCTATTAATATTATATATATATGTATACAAATATGCATATAACATTTATTAATCGATTACACTTAATCTTCGATACACATAACCGTCAAACGCGCGATGATAGCTGCTCACGAAGTGAGTGCAGCGAGAGATCCAAGCATCGCGGAAAAGGGGCGACAATGAATTCGACTATCGATTTAACATCTTAATTTTATTACAGGAGGAGGATTCCAAGGCTGAACTTGCACAGTTCATCTTTCGTCTTTTTCTCTCCAATGTGAAAAGAAAAAAGAAAGAACCATGTAAGTTCAGTCTTGGTGTATGGAAAAAGAACAGGCCTTTTGTCTATCATGTGCTCTTGTCCTAAAAGAGAACCATATCTCTACAAGCCATTTTTGTATTTCGTAAACCAATTTATGTAAAACAATGGTTCTTTCGTAAGACTCATTTTGAACTAATCTTTCGCCAAGTTCGAATATCGAGGGTATTTATGCAATAAGTCGCACCGGCCTGATTCACTCGAACCGAGTTCTTCTATTTCCGATTGTTTCCGGCACCTTTGCTCAAAGCGCGCAAAATCAATCTTCACTAAAAAGTAGCAAGATACATTTTCATCCTTCCTACGGGTTGATTTATTGTAAGAGGACAAAAAAAAGAAGAAGAAGAAGAAAAAGAAGAAGAGCTTTAATGAAATGGATGTATAATATGGATGATGCGTGTTGATATACTTTATCGTCTCGATAAGGCTGTGACTTTGTAAAGAGGATATGAGTGTCGTAAATAAAATGGTTTTATTGACGAACCGGACGTGTTCCCATGACCCCTGTCATCATATGAGTTTCATTGATCGCGCGACGTGTGCAAGAGATATTATACATATACGACCGTGCGCTATAAAACGTATCGCAAGGTATACAAGAGTCCTTCGTTTGAATTGGTAATGATATCGATCGCGCGATTTTCTCATTACGGCGCGCAGCGCGGCGTAACAATCATTCAAACATGTAATAAGACTTACAGTGCCTTGCGAGCAGCCAACTATACTTTTGCCTCTATAATTTTGCGTCGTTTCTAATAATGACAAGACGCTTCATGCGTTTTTGCGAACCTTCTATACAGCACAGAAACGTGTAGCAATATTACTGCAATGTTACTGAAATGTTACTGCAATATTATTGGAACGTTGCAATATTGCTGCAATATTGCTGAAATAATCTGTGCTGTATGGCAGGCTATACAACAATATAATCTGTACTTATAGCACGGAGCTTGATAACGATTTTCGCGATATCTATTTATGCGTCGTTTTCAGAGAATCAAGAAAACACAATTTTCTTTTGATATTGATTGCGATCGATTGCTTTAATACGGCTATAATGCGAAGCCTTTCTTATATTCCGTAATTTTTAAAATTGTAAGCTTTCGTTTAAAGTGAAGAGCTCTTTAGAAGATCCTCTTAAAGAGATCCTCTTAAGATCTTTTTAAGAAAATTTCTAGAGGCTCATTTAAAAATCAATTGTATGACGAGTCTCAAGAGGAACCTGACGCAATATAGTTTCCTAAATAAACTACTTACTTTGTATAAGTAGCCAATTGACAAAAGTTATTATTTTTACTTGAAATATTTTTTGGTGACAGCGAAAAAACTTGTATATTTTTTTCATTTAAGCTATCAATAAAAGCTTTTTTTGAAAAATTCAAAAAAATTCATTGTTTTAGATAACGAAACGTGTATAATATGTGGCAAGAAAAATACAAATTCTGTTTATTAAAATAGAATGTATTTGCAACTGAAAAAAGGATTCTAACTGATTTTGGCACAAAGTGTCTGCCATTTTTATTAAATATGACTGATGGACTTAACTGCATTCGCAACAGTATAGCGATTTGGGAATTTAATTTCTTTTGCAATTAGACCCACTTTTCTCCCTTGATTTTATAGAATTTGTAAGTACTTTAGCACATTTTTAAAACGTTTAATTCGTAAACAAAGAGTTAAGGAATCCAAGAGTTCCATAATATCTAATTTTTTTTTATAATTTCTGATACAGCTTTTACATATCGGCTATTTATATAAAGATACTTTATTTGTATTTATCTCACTTTTCTTTTCGTGCTTTTTCCTAGTATCAATCGCAATGCCCGCGAGAATATTGCAATGTAGGTCGAATAGTTCGCACCACTGACTCGGAAAACCACTTTTCCGTTTTATGTTATTCTGATGAGCGGCGTCAAGTTTTGACAGGAGACCCCACGTGGGCGCGCTTCGCGCAATTATGCGCGCGTGCGACTATAGGAGGATCGCACGTAACGAGCATGCTTCGCACAATGGGTCGCACGTGGCCGCGCAATATCAGTAATTCCCGAAAATTAGGTTTTGTCGACGCTGTCTCGAGCGAAGAGCGCGCGAGAACAAAAGTAGACGTGGCTAATCGGGCCGGTTTATTAAAAAAAAATAGCAAGAAGGAAGAAAAAAAGAGATGCGCGGGCGCACACGCGAACTGTATCGCGAAGCTAATGACTCGCAAAACTGGTTTGCGAATATAATGCAAACGGGAAGGGTCGTAAGCCTCGCATTGTTCTATCCGAGAATATTCTGCGTCTGCAAAAGAGAGTTTTGCATGAGAAAAGGAGTAGAGCGGCAGCATTCTCTTCCTCTTCCCCGAACGTGTAAATTCAAGCTCGCAATTTTCTGTCAGTTTTAGCGCGAGGCACAGTTGCGTAGAATACACAAAAGCCGCTCGTTTGCCACGTATGACAAGGCGATGCAAAATGAAGTAATTGCACCGAACATGGCCTAGTACTACGGCCTACTTGCTGTTTGTATGAAAATTATATATATGTGTGTGTGCATGAATAGTTAAATCTTCACTGCATCCATAAAAGTGTCGAAAATATTCAATAAAATATTGATAATATCTCATACTTTCAATTAAAATATTTTAAAATATTTCATAATTCACGTATACGAAAAATTTGAGAAAAATGTAGATTTTCTCAGCATATATTTCTAAAAACTGTTCCAATTCATATAAAAAAAATCTGAGAAATTTTCTAAAAAGTTATAAATTCTATAAAAAATTATATAGAAGTTCTGTGAAAAATATATTTATAAGTTTATATAAGAAATCTTTGAAAAATTCTAAAACCTGCGGCAAACAATATGTTTTTGCTACTGTATCGTTTGCAATTTAGTAAATTACTAAAAATTCTGCGTAGTGCACTTCTAATAATTTATTAAATCATAAATAATCCAGCAGAGGAAAAAACGCAGACTTAAGAATAATTTCTGTATCGAAAAGGAGAGAAAATTTCTCTGATAACAAAAATAATTGGAATCAGGTTTCTTTTTCAAGATGACGTCTACTGATCGTTTCGTCGCATCTTAATTCGGCCATTTCGGATTTCCGTTCTTCAGACCGGAATAATCGTAAACAGATTTCGTAATAGTATAATAGAATCATGTCAACATCGAAGATGTTTGGACGGTATTTAGTTTTACCAGATTTAAGGTACCAGGTTTTACGAATGATTGATGAGGACGTAGCTGCCGGATTCAATTTACTCCGCTTCTCCAGGAACTACCCCAATTTCGATTATCTAACAAGAACACCAGATTCGAGGTCACATAGTTTCCTATGATTCGCGTATATTCCGATTAACGCCACGGTTTCTCGGAAACGCGTTATTGATTGGACTCTTGAAGGAAAGTGCAAAAGGGGAAATTACATGCGACAAGATTCTATTTGTATTCCTCGTGTTATCACTTTATTACAAAATTGTATTGCAAAAATACTTGGATTTCTCCCACACGTATATACTGAAATGCATAATGGCACGTTGCGAATGCGTATGACGACCGTTCCTTTTTCTTTTTTCCTTCTTTTTATTGGTGCTGAACTTTAAACGCTCGCGCAATCATTTATCGCTTTGTGACGAGCGCGAACGAGACAAACGGCGATGCCATAAAAATACCGGCGCAACCGGTTACGAGATATTGATAAAATTTATAAAGATAAGATTTGATAAAATTACGAATTCTTATTATTTACAAAAATGTATGTACAATTTATATATACAACTTTTTCTTTATCAATAAATATTTTTTTTTTTCAGTTAGGTACCCGCATGACTATCATTATCTCACTCATTGAAAATATATTGATATATAGATTTGATCGTTGTGGAAGTTCCTGAGATATGTTCGAAGTGTCAAAACATTGTACAAAATGTATTATATGTACACAAAAAAAACGGCAAAATTCGCCGCTCACGTTAGTCTTGTTTCATGCTGCCATAATATTCGCTAATTATAAACATTGCAAATCGTATACTTTACTATTAACAAATCCTCGAAAAAATAAATAATTGACTTATTAACATGAGCGTGAATATATCGCCTGTAATTAAGTCTTATAAATGAATAATTGACAAAAGAGCGGTATAATTTACATCCTCCTCTGATGTGCTCGATATACAGGGTCCTTATAAGTATTCTAAAAAATTTTAAAAAGCGATTTCTCACGTTAAATCAAAACGAAAACTTCAATGACCATATGTTCGAAAAATGGGTTATTTTTAAAGATACAGGGAATCAAAATTGAAGGAAAAATCCCATTAAAAAAGAAAATTCGAAAATCATTCGGGTTAATAAAAATAAAACTTTGTCTATATTTCAAGAATATATGGAGGTTTATCTTTTGTAGCTAATATTATATTTTTATTCAAATCAGAAGCGGATCCGAGAATAAGTATATCTTTAAAACTAAGCCATTTTGGTCACATGATTTGAAAATCTTTTGGAATACTTAAAAACTACCCTGTCTCCACGCAGGACAAAAAGTCATGATGACATCAAAATGGCATCCAAATGGCTTCAAAATGATTATTAAAAGTCACTTTTCGATGAGTCACGATTCATTTTAATATCATTTTGATATTATCGTAATATTGATCTGCTTGGGAAACTATTTATGTTTCGTATATCGCATTTCATATATGAAACTTTATAAGAGGAAGAGAAAATTAGTGAATCACATTAAAACGATATTTTTTCGGATTACACCGCTCTTGCGCCAAACCTTCATCGATTGCGAATCAAGGGTTCACGGTCAGTACGCCAATTCCGCGCCCCAGGGTCGGTAAGGCTTTCCGTGCTGCTGCTGAGGATACTGTCCGGGATACTGGCTCCAGCCAAGGGTGCCGCCGCCCAAAAGCGGCGGCATAGCACCCGGACCAGGTGGCATCCCGGCGGAGACCGTGCTCGGCGGTGGTTCGTAGCTGCTGGCAGTGGAGGTGGATGTCAATGTCGTGGGAGCCGAAGGCACCGCCGAGGATACGGCTGACGGCGGATGTTCTCGATGGAAGCTCTGCAAGTGCGATAGCAGACGCAGTCGAAGGGGATCTCTCTCGTCCAAACCTTCCATAGTCACCAGATAGCGACCGACCTCGGCGGCGCATTCGCCCCAGCCTACTGCGTGGTAATCCATAGCCAACTTCGTGCTATCGTAGCCCTCTGGTCCTGTAATTGCAATTTGCATTGTGATTATGACGACAATCTCGATTATCGTTATGCACGATAAATTAATAATAATAGTATAATGATGATAATAATAATGTAATGTTAATATATTAATAAACCAATAATAATACAGCCCCTTAGCTATAAATATAAAATACCCTCAATTTATTGCGCTTTCTTGGAAAAGGCGATGATAAAAGCCAAAGAAAAACTAATAAAATATTAAAGCTATTACAGAAGTAAATATTATTTTCAACAAAACTGTATTTCTAATTTTTTATGTATTTCTTGTTATAAACTATAGAACACTTACGTCAATTTTTGGAAGTGCTTTATATTTATGATTAAGACTGTATAATGATATTAATAAAATCGTAGTCCTCTTAATTTCATACATATATTCGAAGATTTTAAAATGCACGATGAAGAAAGTCTTCTCAAAGATGAATTATAAGGATCTTTGAGACGCGATGTTGATAATTATTAATTAGAAAAAACTCTGAACGAGACGGAAGTTGATTTAACTTAAAGTTAAATTAGACTTTAGCTCGAGCGTTATCGAGTGCTTCGGAGAAGCGTAAATATGGAGATAAAGTAGAAATTAAAGAATTTTTTACATGATAATTTTAATAGTGTACGTAGATATGGAAATTGGATAAAAACTTGAATTTCTCCACGAACACTGTTCTGCGATACAATTATTTAAGACTCCAATGTTGCAGTTCATTTCCTAGGAATATTATTCCCCGACGAAGATATGCTGCCGTGTTCCGAAAGAAAGCAGGTGTCAAAAGATGATATCGCCGGTTTTTCCGGCGCTTTTCTCGAATCACGCTCCGGCCGGCTCGCAGATTGACAACGTGGAAGTGCATCTGCGGACGGAGAGATCCTTTGTGCACTTTTGGTTTTCGCGGCGCAACAATAGTCCGGGGCGTACGTGCACCGAGGCAAGATGGGCGCCTTGGCTTTAGTAGCAGGCGGCTCATTGTGTATAATGTGGAATGGGACAGGTAGCGTGGGAATCGTTTAGACCCCCATAGGTCGGCCTCGCGGGCCACATGCGAGATACGCACGCATACTACGAACGAAGTGGAGTGTCCTGTTGTTATGCAAGTTCTCAGACCGCCCTGTGCAAACATCACTTATACGAAAGAAAGGCTACTGCGTATCGTACAAGCTCTCGTTCGTCAAATCATTGCGCGATCGATCATCGCTAAAGCCTCGATAAGCGAGTGATCTCGAAACTTCGGAAAAATGTCTATATAAACGAGACATGTCCGGAGCTACATTAAAAAAGAAATAAAGGTACGTGAAACATCAAAGAATGTCAAACTCGGAATATTAAACTGGATAAAAACTTTTTTAAACCGGATCAAACTTTGTTAAACCGGATAAAACTTTGTCAAATCAGATAAAATCTTTTTATTATATTACTGTAGAGAAATGTAATGTCGATCAATGTAGTACTTTAATCTCGGTTTAATTTACTCTTTCTCTTTTTTTAATCCTTAAATCTCCATCTGCAATGTGGGATTTTTTAGCACAAACAAAATTTCGCTCTCAAATTTTCTCGTTTCTCTATTCAAATTTCAATTTTTAATAAATAAAGGTTTTAATATCTGTGAGTTAGAAAACTATTCGATAATATAATATATACATAGAGATTGAAAAGAATTTTTTCATATTTTTTGAAAGACTAGAATAATAATAAAACTTGGACAAAAAATCCAGAAAAATAAAGGAAGCAAAAATATGATAGTATAGATAGAGGATTAAAACTAAAAAAAGAACAAGAAAGTAAATTAAATCAAGATTATAGTTAATCTATATCATTAAAAACAGGCATAATAAAAATGCATTATTTGATAAGATATTACTTAATCTGCAATTGACAAAGTTGTATACGTAAAACAACAGGGCTATCGCTATCGAAACATAATTCCCGAATATATATAAGTACCACTTATCGTTCTCGCCAATCAGAATGCCGCGATGGTTTTATTTGGCGATATTAAATTTAATATCGCTCATTTTTGGGGACGGGTCGCGCCCCTCGCACGCATTTACAAATAAGAAGGCCACCGCGAGCGAAGCGAGTGCAGCTCACTCGCACGCATGCAAACGCACGCGTGGTGGTGCAGTGCGTGTCCGTGCACGCTTATGCGTAGCTGGTTTCCCACAGGGTTCGACATCTGCCCCAGGCCCGATCCGTCGAGCGCCTCCCTCGCGAGGGGTGCCGCGCGGGACACCTCATCCCCGGGCACGCCGCCACCAATCGTGGGAACACCACTTCCAGAGAGTCGTTGACTTCCTGTGCTTCCCACAGGATCTACGCGCCCGGTCCAGCACCTGCTCGCGCGGATCCCGTTTACGCTCGAGCTCCTTTGCGGCCTTCACGGGAAACCATATGCCACTACGTCTTGCGATTTCTTCCACGACACGTCGTGCTTTTCGAAAAGATTTATCATGAACTAATCGCTCAATGTCGAAAAGAAAAAAGAAATGAAAGAGAGATTTGTAAATAAAAAAATTGATATTATAGTGAAAATAAATATAGATAATAATATTGCTAAATATAATTGAAGCAGTGTATTTGAAATTTATAATAAAAATTTTCTCCAGAGTATTTTTTAATTAATTTTCAAGTTGATTAAATTATCTATTTTCCCCTGCTATTTTTGTAATAAAAAATAATTATCCGATGATAAAATGAGATAAGTATATTTATATCACTTGTAAAGAAATATTGAAAAATCACAAAAGGATAGCTATAATATGTAACGTAAAATTAGAGAAATCTTGCGAAATACTAATCTTGGAAATCTCGTTTACGAATCTACTGGTAATCGCTCTCCCAATCAATCTGCTTAATAAGGAAATGCAGAGACGACAGATGGGCATTCGGTTACGCAGTTACAGTTAGCGCTGTTCGCTCTTACGGCCAACAGGTGTCTTCCGGTGGAAAATAAAGGGCCGAAAACGCCGACTAACAGAAAGACGTAATAATGGCGAACGAATCAAATTGATGCGAGTGTGTGAGCAGTCGAATCGTGAGATCACTAATGACGGGCTTGAGGAATCTCAAGCGGAGAAAAGAGGTGTCTTATTGATCCAGGAGAATCATCTTCGAGTTCCGCTACGCGTTACAACGGGAAAGGGGGCGTTTCTTCCGGATTCGGGGATCTTATTACTCGACACCGTTACATCTTTCGACATGCACTTCCGTTACGTAACTTCCTGCGGAAAGCGATAAACCTCGAACAATTTTCGAACACGAATTAGTTAAATCAAAACTGATTTTGATGAATATGCTTGATGAATATCGGTTTAATTAATTTTTATTTTTTTCTAATTCTTAGAACTAGAAAAGGATGAAAAATAAGTTAAGCCGAGATTAATCTACATTAAAAATGGAAGTCCATCAAATTAAATTGTTCCTAATTACTGACGCTTTTTTGTCTCTAATTATAGAATCTTCATTCTAAAAGATTAATATCCGCTTCCATTAGATTAACTTTAATCTTGTTTCTTCAAATTAATTAAACAAATTCAAGGCTCAAATAAAATAAAATAAAACCAAATTAAATTGTGTAAAATAAAACAAAATAAACAAAAAATTATGTTAGGCTAGAACAGGATAAAATGTTATTACTCATTATATTTGACTTTTCTTTATAATTATTTTGATAGTCCAACAAAATTATTCAAACCTGTATCTATCTAAATTTTTAATTACTTCAGCAAAATATTGTTCTTTCTGTGTAAGAATTAAAAAAAAAGATGGAGAGAGTAAGTTGAACCGAGATTAAAGTTAATCTACAATGATAGAAACGGGCTGAGAAATAAAAATAACACCTGGCGATGCCAAGAGTAATATTAGACGAACGAGATTTGCAGCCTTCGCGGTGGAACGACTTAATTTAAACGAATAACTCGAGTTGCACGGAGACGAGAGGGTTGAATAAGATGCACGATCTTACCCTTGCTGCGAAGCGTACGCAGATGCTCGACGGTAAGCTGCAGAATCTCGGCCTTCTCCAGCTTTCCGCTGTGAGGATCTCTCGCCGCCGCCGGGACCAATCTCCTGAGCTCGCCGAGGGACGCGTTAATCCTGTCGCGCCGCTTCTTCTCGATCATCCCCCTCCTGCGTTTCCGCGACGCGTGTTGGCATGAGTCTCCACCAGGCGAGTTGCATCTGCAAAGGGAATTTCGAGGGAAGGGTTGAGAAGCAGCGTCAAGACATTCTGCCTGTCTGTGGTCTTCCTTTGTTATGAACTTTTGCGACTGGGAGGGCGAGAGGACGTTGTTTTAATTGTACATTGTTGATCTACCTCGCGGAACGCTCAACAACTCGCTCATTAATTTCGGCCATGCTAAAACAATACCGTCCTGATTGCGATTTTACCGCGGAACAAAGAGATACGCAATATGTCGCGTCGGCGAGCGACCGACTATCCGATTGTTTCGATAAGTATATTAAAGAATGTTTTAATTATTTTAATTAAGAATATTTTCGATATACATTCAATTTTGAGAGAAACTAGAAATGTCTATTCAATTCTGCCGAGCAAGACTTCATTTTTTCTTTTAGAAAAAGAATTTAAACTTTAGAGATTATATTATAATATGAATTGACTGCTTTAATTCTTGTGTATACGATTTGTTTATACGAAAAATGTTTTTCGCTTTTTATATTAAATAACTGAAGAGAGGAGAGATAAAAAATAGATATACGTACGGCTCTTTGCCGCTTTCCTCCGAGAATACGTCGTCGCAGTCTGAATCGCTCATAGTCCTCTTCAAATTCCTCTGTTGATGTCCCTGACTTTGCTGCGACTGCTGTTGTTGTTGTTGCTGTTGCTGCTGTTGCTGTTGCTGACTGTTATCTTGATTTCTCAATTCCGTATCAATCTTCAGTTCCAAGAACTCATGATTAGAGCGTAACTCCGGCATCTCTGGTCTCATGCTTGGTATGTCTTGATGCCGGATGTCCTGGTGCCTGGACAGCTCCTGATGCCTCTGTATCTCTGTCGAATGTCGCAGGTCTGGCCGCTGCATCTCGTGTCGCAATTCTTGACTCCTGAGGTCACCTGGACCTGTCGCGATAGTATGTCGCAGATCGCCGTGGGTGGCGGGAGGACGCATGTCATGATGGTGACGCATGTCTGGGTGCTGCGGCGTCGGCTGATACGGCGGATGATGCGGCGGTGGCGGGTAACCCCAATGGTGACCCGACGGCGGCGCCGACAGCGTCGACAAGTGACCGGGCGCGACCGCGCCGGAAGTGATCTCGGAGGACAGCAGGGTGCTGTTGTCGTCGGAGCGTGCGACCACCACCCGCCACATGTTGCGCACGAGAGAGGTAGAGAAAGTTAGAGAGAAGGTCGGACAGGAGGATCGATGTAATCGATGAACAGCCCCGTGTAAGGACACGAAGGTGTGTTTAGTCGATTGACTTTGCTCGATCGTGCGCTACCGTCTAATGCGATGTGTCGATGCCATAACGACGCACGGACAAGGTGTCATTGCAGCCGCAATGCAGTCGATGGAGAACGATTGTCAGAATTGTCAGCAGACCTCGATAAGCATCGGCCGTGCTCTAATCGACTTTCAGCTGGCGAAGGAAATCGCGATTAAGCAATCAACTAATAACTGGAACACACGGATAACACTGCTGTCATCAAATGAGCATGATAGCACTTCTTGTTTCTTTTTATGAGCATACGATTTTCTCGGGAGAAGTAGCCTCATCTATTTGATTGGTATCTGTTTGATTGGTATCTAAAGTCTGATCACTGTTCTTATAAAAAAATCTGTAGAGTTTCTTCAGCGATTAAAAATCATTCTGTCTTCACCAGGTGTATATGATTAATTTACAGGTTCCATCAAGCAATTGTGATTAAAAAATGAAGCTCGCGAAATCTTTGACAAAATTTCCGATGTCTTTATCGTTATTGATGTAGCACTTTGTGTTTCTCTAGGGACGTATACAATTTTCTCGGGAGAAGTATCCTCATCTATTTGATTGATATTTGTCTGTCACTGTCCTCGTAGATCTGTAGAACTTGTTAGACAATTAAAAATCGAAGCTCAAGATCTTTGCAGGATCCACAAAATCCTCGACGAAATCCCCGATATCTCTTGCTGTAGATTGTGCGATAATAGCACCATGAAATAAAAAAAAAATAGCAAAACTCGCGTGGTAGGATTTTCAAATCCTCGAAAAAAAAAATCCAGAAGCTTGAACTTGAGTTAATTTCTTCACGAATAATTAGAGGTCGCGCGACTTCCAAGTTCCTCGGTGACGTTTCGTGACACTTGCGCGGAAGGAATCTTGCGGAAGGTCAAGGCCACGCGGCGGGTTGCGGTTTCCGGACAGCGAAAGGAGCACTCGGTCCTTCGGAACACTTGTCTCACGCGGCGGCGGGAGTTTATCGGCGCCCACGTGCCGCGGCTACCCGCGACGTCGTTCGCGGTCGCGTGCGTGCTCGTGGAGGAAGAAGCGCGACTGGCTCGGACGCACTCTCGGCCGCTGCCGTTGCTACCGCTGCTGCTGCTACTGCTGCTGCAGGATGTGCGTGTGCACTGGTCGCGTGGCGGCCGACGTATGTCGTGTGCGGGAGGACGCAGGGACGACACACGACCGCGTGGTGTATCGGTGATCCTGGTGGGGATGATCGGAGGTGTACCCTCGGGATAGAGAGAGTGGGGCACCGGAGGGGCCCCGCGAGGTGAAAAGCACCCCGCACACGGCGTACAAGAGAGAGTGAGAGAGGGTTGCCGGCGAAGGGGGAACGCAAATCGAGAGGGGCGATTTTCGTGGGAACGTCCACGGCGACTCGTGTTAGACGAGCGTGCGTATGTGCGTGCGTGTGTGCGTACGTGTGGACCCTTGATTGTGCGACTACCGGCTGGATCCTGCGTTGCACTCGGTCAAGGAGACCGAGGAGGAAGCGATCTTCTCGTCACTCGGCCGTCAGCGGATGTGCGAGAAGAAAGAAACCGGAAACGGTCCTTTTCCAGGCTGGTGTGAATTCCCATCGTTTCCGCCGAAATTGTCGCGTTTGAAGATTATTGTTTCCTCCGATACTAGAATTTTCTTTAAAGGCTTATCATTTATGTCTTCTAGAAAGCAGCGCGATACCTTTAATTTGATAGGTTCTATCGTCATTGAGAAAACTGTTCATATAATGTTATTCTATTAGTCTTCATTTTGTCAGATCAGTTTTAAATGAGTTTTTTGTCAAACTGTAAATTTCCAAGTACACCTTTATAAAAATCCAATTGAATACTGACAAATAATGATTGACTTATTTTGAGTACTGAAAGTACTGAACAACAGTATTTTTTAATACTCAAAATAAGTACACTAAAAAAAGAATACTAAATTTTAATAAATATTTGTTTGAATATATTTATAAATGTAAACATATATTTACTATTTGATACAAAAACTATTAATGTGATTTAACTATCATTTTTTATTAAGTAAATATTTATTTAATGTAAGTAAATGTTTACTTAGTATTTAAAGAAATGTATATTAAGATTCAGTACATCTTTCTTTATTGTAATTAATCGCTACTTTTCAGTACTAAATTAAAAGAGTATTCATCGAAGTTTCGATCCTACGATTTCATTCACATCGAAATACTTCACATTCTCATATCCCTATAATACCTTTGCAAATGGAGAGAACCGCGTCTTTATTCGCACACGAAAGAGAGAACGAGTAATAAAATTGTAAAACAATCAGCCGGATGCCTTCTGCCCAGTTTCTCGAAAAGGTAGGGGCGCGACACCATGAAATCACTCCGGTGCCACCCTCGCGTGGGTCAACCCCCCGACTGCGTTCGCACGCTTGTGCGTACGTCGCGGAGACGTTCACGCGTGTCGGGAGTGAGGAAGGGAGACATTCGCAAGAGAGAAAGAGAGAGAGAGGGAGGGTGAGGAAGGGGGGCTGCGATCACGATAAAGTTCACACAGGAATCGTACGCGGCACGCGCTCGCATGATTATCGGCGCCTGGGAACGGAGCTGACTAATCGTATCGTTAACTTTTCAGCGGGGATCGACCAGGCCGATTACGCGACGTGAAATGCAGAAAGTAAATTGAAAGTCCACTCTGGGAAAAGTTAGCCCGAGATGTACGTGATACGGACACAGTATTGTTAAAGGGCTAAAAAGAAGCAGAATTCGCTCAATTTTATAGTCTCTTTATAATTAGTAATTTATTTTCCATTTAAGAAGCACCTGAGAAATTTAAGAAATATTTTAGTCTTTCCCTGATATTAGTAATTTCTTTTTAATTTAAGGAATACCTAAGAAAAATATTTTATATAGTCTCTCTCTCTCTCTCTCTCTCTATATATATATATATATATATATATATATAGTAACTTCTTTTCAATTTAAGAAATGCTTAAAGAATTTAAGAAATATCGAGTGGTCCACGAGATTTCTTATATTTTTATTTTTTTATCTTTTAATATAAATATAAGTACATTTTTTAAACTACAGAAACTAACAAAAAATATGTTTTAACAGCATTAACAACAATCTAATTGAAAATAATCTTGTTAATTCAATGACAGATTAACGAAACAAATACTCTTGTTTTAATAAAATTTGTTTTATTAATACTAAATTGAATTAACGTAATTATTTTCAATTAGACTACTATTGACTAATGTTGAAAATCTCATTTTTTTTCATGTAGAAAGAAGAAACTTAATAAATGTGATCAAAAAACGTCTCAATGTTGCGGAGAAGCACAAAACGTTCACATCAGAGTATTTTATTAATTAAATTAAAACAGATAATGTATCATAAATCTATTTTAAAACAATATTTTATAATTGATATACATATAATGCATGTAGCAACATTCTCACTCTTGTAATTATGCACGATGCAAAAAATTTGAGTTCCGAAAAACTTCTACCTTTAATTTCTTTGGCTTATACACGCGAATCAGTTTCGCAAGAAACTGGACATCGTAAACAGAGATTGATGTAGATTAACATCGTGCTTATGTTTGCACGAGAAGGTCGGTTTACTTCCCTTGCGATTGCATGCCGTGCAAGGGATGAAAACGGTGCTCCGATGATCGCAGCGGGTATCGCGAGACGTGCACTGCGTCGCGTGCACACGTCCAGCACACGTCATCACGCGATCAAGGGCGCGAGAGAGGTAAAAAGAAAGAAAGAAAAAGAAACAGAGAGCGAGAGAAAGGGAGAAATACAAAGTGGATCGCGTGCCTGTTTTTTTTTTTGCACCTCGCACAACTGATCGACTATTCTTCGTCGCCCCGAACTCACGACAGCCTATCCTACGGATAGTTCTTATTTCGCATTATATAATATCTTCCTGCGCGGACCCATCGTGCCTTTTAATGCCTCCTGGACAGAAGAAGTGCAAGAGAACACCTGGTTCCCATAGGTATCGCGCATTTCTCAATTGGAATTTTACAAAGAGATGATGTAAATCCAAACGGCAACTCGACTCTGTCGGGAGATAAATTTCCGCAGGAGATTCTTTTCGGATTATTTTCTTTTTTTCTGATCGATAAACGGAAATAATGATTTTGCTCAAGTATCTAAAATTTAGTTAAATATTATTATTACTTATTGTGCATAGATATTACATGATTTGTAAAAAGAGATTTCAGAAATTACAGGATTAAGAATATACATAAATGATGAGGCACCAGCAAGGCTGTTGCTACTAAGCCTCCCAGTAAGTAAAAGAATTTACGCATAACAAAATACAGATTACAATTACTGAAGAATGAGACAATATATGAAAGCATACATGCAGAAATACAGAGCATACGTACAAATGGACTAACAGAATTTTTAAAGCGTATAAAGTAATAATAGTAATTACAGTAAAATTTATAAGAGAGAGATAAAAAATAGTTAAAGTTACAAAGTCGATATAAATTTTGCAGCAACTGAACGAAACGAAGGAAATGTATTAACCAGATTTTAGAAAAATTAATGTTTATATGTTATTAACTAACTTAGGTTAAATCAAAATAAATTAATTAACAGTTTATATTATATATAAATATATATTATATTTATATCGGAATATAGATTTCCGTTAGGACCAATCTTAATAAGACTGGCAGCCCTATTGGCTGAATTTTAAGATTTTAGGATTAAGACCGAAGCATAAACCAAGCATAAGCGTTACAATCGTTACAATTCTTGTGCTCTGGGTATCGATCATGTAACTTTTTCTCTAGAGCGAAAACGTGAAAAGTGAAAATTTTTATGTATGTATATATGAACATATAAACACATGCATACATACTCAACCCTAAATTTGGAACATATGCCATAAAGGTGCCTTTCCATATTGACACTAGACGCTCATTTTCAGCGTTAAAACAGGTCACATGATAAAAATTTTATATGATGAATTATGGCTACGAAGTTTGTAGCGTCAAGTGGACCGCACCCTATATCAATAGTTAATTTTGATCATGCGACCTGTTTTAACGTCAATATGAAAAGGCACCTTAACCCCCGATCTGCAATAGGTGTTTTAAGCCGTAAGAAATTGACCAATTACAGGAATCCGAGGAGAATAATCGACTGTGATTCGCTCATTTCTTATAGCTTAAGGTTTAAAACCCTATTGTAGATTCACGGTAAAGAAAAAAAATCATTTTGTGTTTCCTTTCTTTCGCTCTCCTTCGAAGCATCAGCACGCACGTGGACTGATAGTACTGTTTAATATTAATAGGTTTTGATTATTGTGTCATATTTTCTGCAGATATATTTACGTTGATAGCGAGTTTTTAGATATATATATATATATATATATAATAAAATGTCTGTAAATTTGACTGTATGTGAAGATTGGTAAGTTTAAAATTCCTTCTTTTCCTTTATTTTCTAATTTTTAAAGAAATATATATCGTTACTGAATAACTATAGAATAATGATGCATGCACATAAATCATTTAGAATTGCTCCCGTTTAGTGACTTTTTATATACGAAGCTCATTTTCAATAAGTAGAGATGCGCAATGTATGTACAGCACGCAGGTGAGGCGGTTAAAGCTAAAGCCGATCAAAGTTGGGATTCATTCCCAGTGAGAAATAACAATGGAATCGTGGAAATGATCTCGATTCAACGTCGAAATCATCGAATTGACGTCAAATCGACGTCAAAACACCATCTAACAATCTCCGTTTCAAGTAAACTATGTGCCGATTTTGATCTTGAAATGTAATTCTAAACCGAAGCTAGGATTCATGCATTTGTATTCAAATATATTTATTGAATATCTTTTTAGACAATTTGTTGATTCTGAAGCATTTTTTTTAGCAATGGATATCATAGATATTCAGTAGTCTTACTTTAGATCAAAGAGGTTGTATATATAGAATAGGCAAGGCTTAGGTGCCCCTATAAGTGGAAATGTTAGACCAGTAAAAAGGGAAAGAATACGGGAGAGCCATCTTTATCTTTGTTTAATATGTGCGATTAATGCCTAAATTCTAAGCAGAATCGTAAGGCTCGTAACATATTCCTGTAAGATTTGTAAAAATTTTTAAGTGCTTATACCTTTATACAATATTTTTGCAGACAGCTTCTTACTAGACATAAAATTTGCAAAAAATCGTAGATATTTACGAATAATCGTACATCTTATGATACATATTTTCTATGAAATTAAAAAACGCATTTAATCCTATGGAGATGTTCTCTAAGTACGTAATAATAAATAATAATTCTATTTCTTTAAATCATTCTTATTCCTTAAACTAATAAAATGTACAAATGTACGGACACTCTCCAAATTGAAACAATAAATCTTATCTCTTAATAAAATTTTGTGAACACATTTTATAAATTATGTTGTGTCATTGTTTTACTTTATAATGATGCACGCATCGTTACTGTATTGTACGAATGCCGTTATGTAGGATTCACACTGCGTACGGCATCCGATGTACGACGATACCAATAACAGAATTCGGTTCTAGTTAGCGACATTTTTATCTGCATATACTTTGTAAGTTGCATATTGCGATGTATCCGTCGTATGTACATACGTCGTCGGACGAAAAAGTTAAATCTTGACGAACATTTTCATACGACAAGCATCATCGTATGACAAAATATTGCTAGCCGAAATATCTAGAAAACAAGCTCTTCTATTGGATATCGGACGACGCATGTCGGATGTCGTACGCAATGTCAATCTTACATTACAATGGCCTTTGACCGCACACAAGGGCGTAACAGGTATGTTACTGAAGCTATATTCAACGCGCATGCTTACCTGTGTCTTTCACTAGGTTTAAAGGTATTCTGTTATTCATATTTCTATAATTAAATATATTATGAATAATAGTACCTTATAATATTAGTAATAAAATATTTTTAAACATAGTGAAAGACACAGGTCAAAAACTTTTAACGGTTTCGGACTAGTGTCATCCATGAGACTGAGCATCGCGCGCTCTGGTTTACGTAGTTAAATTTATCTAATTGGTTTACTTTTTTAAACTTATTCTGAACTTGTAATATCCAATTGATATTTTTTCACCTTTTATTTGCTAGCGATACTATTGATTATTTGTTACATTGACGAATGAGAAATAATTAATTTGCAATAGTAATCAATCGTTTTCTTAACAAATATCACATTTGTTTTCCCTTGATTTATTCCTATAACAAAATCATTTCTCTCAGTGCGACGCTGTATCGCCTATCCCTAGTCCCATAGTCTCTCCTGTCGATCCTCAAGAGGATCCTAAAGCCGTCTGTATTACCGACTAAATCGTCATTTTTATATAACAAATACTTTTTTTCTCTTTCACACATTCTTTTATGCCGAGTTTATGCCGAGAATGATAAAAAATTTTTCTTAAGATTTTTCAATTTCGAAATTTTTTGCCATTTTCGGCATAAATTCTACCTCACAAACACGTATTAATGTGTATACTTTAATTTTTGAATCTGTGAAAGAAGAAAAAAGTATTTGTTATACAAAAATTACGATTTAGTCGGTAATACAGACGGCTTTAGGATCCCCTTAATGTTGAAAATTTATAGTGCAGCTAACGTAAATTATAGATTATCAGCGCAGTAAATTTGGAACATATGCTATAAAGGTGTCTTTCCATATTGACACTTGATTTTGATGCTCATTTTCAACGTCACAAATCAGGTCACGTGATAAAAATTGACGAATTGTATCAAGCGTAAATTTTGATCATGTGACTTGTTTTAGCGTTAGTATGAAAAGGCACCTTAAAGAAAAAAATCATTTAGTTATTCCTTTTTTCCGCTTTTCTTCGAAGCATTAGCACGCACGTAGTGCATTGCTAAATAGTACTGTTTAATATTAATAGGTTTTGATTATTGTGTCATATTTTCTGCAAATATTTACGTTGATAGCGAGTTTTTAAATATATACATAATAAAATGTCTGAGAATTTGTCTAGATATAAATGGTAAGTTTAAAATTCTTTCTTTTTCTTTTTTTTCTAATTTTTGAAGAAATATACATCGCTACTGACTGTAAAATAATGATGCATACACATTAATCGCATCGATTCCATTTCTCATTGTGTAGTGAATGCGCAATGTATAATATGTACACAGAAAAAAAATTTGCAAATATTTTAAATAAATATTCACTCCAATAGTACTAACGAAACATTTACTAAATATAAATATATATTTATTCGATTTAAACATAACTGTTTTATTTTAAATAAATATTTATTTACTATAAATAAATATTTCGTTAGTACTATTGAAGTAAATATTTATTTAAAATTTGCAAATTTTTTTTGAGTGTATAGCACGCAGGCGACTAAAGCTAAAGCCGATCAAAGCTGGGATTGATCATTGCATTTATCCAATGGAGTCACAAATACATGTATCCCAGCTCCGATTTAGAATTACGTTTCAAGACTGACAAATAATCGGGGCATAGTTTGCTTGAAGCGGGGATTTTTGAACAGTGTTTGCTGCATCTAGATAAAATGATGTTATCTTATTTTTACTAGAATATATTCTATATTATATTCGTCTATATTTTGAATAAAAAAGTGTTATCTGACTCTTCTCAAATACGAAAAGATAGATTATTTGAATTATCATTAACATATCAGCAAAATAATAATATATAAGGATAACATTTTATCATAAATTATCTAATTTACTCTTTCTATTTCTGGTAAATCTATTCAACGCTGTTTCTTTAACAATTTCTATGTCTTTATGTTCCAAACTTTCAAATATCAAAAGGATGAAAAACTTCATTTAGCGAGAGCGACACTTATCGGCAGTAATATTTTATGCACACAGAGAAAAAGATTTCTTTGGATTTAATAAATTTTATTGTATCCAAATAAATTTATTTGTATTTGGAATGGTCCAAACAAACCAATGTTTAAATCAATAAGTGCGATTGTTTAAATTTGAAACAATATATATCTTTGTCTTAAATACATTATTTGTTTGAACAGGTAATGTTTATCTTCGGCATTCGCGTGATCAAATTGTACTGCACAAACATAATTGATATAGCATATAGTGCTGTTTAATCCTGTTGTTAAACATATAAGCCATTGTTTTCGTAATTTCGGCTAAAAAATATATTTGTTGTTCTAAGAAGGCAATTTGATATTTGCATGGACCTCTATCATAATCTCTATACCATAATCTCTATCAATATATTTTGCCATTTTCAAACAAATAATTTGTTTCATTGTTTGTATTTATTGTAATCAAATAATATATTATTTGATTGAAAGATATTACTTCAAATAATAATGTTATTTCTGTCAAACAATAGAGATTTCTCGAATGAAACAACAAAATTTTTATTCAAACAAATAATATTTCTTAATATGGCTCAATCAGAATAAATCTATAAATAAAAGAAGGGCTACGAGCCAATTATAATGTAAAATATTTAATAATCGTATAAACGTTTCGACACCGATCGGGTCATTTTCAATGTGAACAAAACAACGTTATGATAACGTCGCCTGACATCGTCGATAATATTTCTCCAATGTATCATGGCTTATTTTTATTATATAATACTTAATCAATTTTACGTTTTTCTCTCTCTGTGTCTGATGGACTACGACAAATCAAGATTGTAGATAATAAGTGAGATGAGATCATTTTTAAATCAAGTGATGCTAATTTGAATATGGATCGCACGTTAATAGGAAATATTGAAATTATCGACGTTTAATTTTATCTAATACTCAAAGATTTATGTAATATTGTTTTATTCACATTGAAAATGACCCGATCGGTGTCGAAACGTTTGTATGATTATTAAATATTTTACATTATAATTGGCTCGTAGCCCTTCTTTTATTTATTGAAATAATATTTCGTACAAGCATGTTGTTTCAATAAAACAAATTTTAGTCAAATAAATAGGAATACTAAATTCAAAAAAACCTTTTTCTCTTTGTAGTCTTGCAATCAGAGTGACTTTCGCATAACGCTGCATAACGCGGTATTAACAATAGAGCAGTAAGTCGCAAGAACCTATGGGAGTTTCTTAAATTAAAAAATATTTTAGTAACATCAAAATTGTGATTAAGCATTTTAGAAATATTACGAATATAACATTTCATTACAAAATATTTTTAAAAAGGAGACTCCAAGGGAAGAGAGCATGGCTCCCATGCCGCTCCTCCCCCATGGATCCGCCAGTAACCAGACGCGAAAGGTTCAAAATAAGCAAGGTTCTTTTCGGTCAACATAATATATAAATAATCTAAATAATAAGGATCGGTTGTTCCATTTTTTAGAAATATAAATAAATATTTATGACGCAATATCATTATATTTCTACAAAATTACATTTCTTCTACAGTATCTTTTATCTATAAATAAATCTAAATAATACCAATAAAATTGCAATTTTAAACAAGAATAGTCTAGTTTTAAATTTATATACACATATGGGGCATTCCACGTGAAAGGAGTTCACCTAAAAATAAACTATTTGGAATCTTTAAAATAATCATGAAAACATGTAAGTGGACATAATGTATAATGAAGATAAAAAAAATAAGTATTATATGTCTTGCACCCACAATGTTGGAGATAGGCGTTTAAAGGAGGTCTCCTTTTGTTGTCATTTGTAGTTAAAATTACAAAATATATAATATAAAATTTTTATACATATGAATTTTTTAGGATTTTTCCCGTACTTTCAGATAAAAAAGTTAATTTTAATGAGAAAAAATGAATAATGTAGAAAAAATCAATTTTTTAACTTTAAGTAAATAAATGAAAAATTAGATCCACTTTTAAAAATCTGAAAAAATTCTAAAAAATACTCTAATGAATGTAGAATAACAATATATGTAGAATATGATGCTGCAAAGGAAATTTTGGGATCGCAATGGGAACAACCAGTAAATGAATCTTTTTTCCTAAGCAAAATTTGAATTTCCACCAAACACTTGATAATATTACTTTATTAATTAATCTAATTACATAGTACTACATAATACATTTATATAACTAATATATAACTAATTATAAGATAATCAGTTAAGCCTCAGTAGTCTAGAGGCTTAGGACCCTCGTATGGAGTACAAGAGATCCGAGTTCGACTCCTGGCCGAGATAATATTTTTCGTAATAAATTTATTTACAGTTTCTTAGCACATTAACATCTTCCTAATATGATGCCTGATTCAGCATCAAATTATAAAAAATTGCCTGTCAATTTAATTTAATTCGTGATATCACAGTAGTTTAATTGCGTTTATAAGTCCGGGAAACCAATTCGACGCTCAGTTCGAATGACTACAAATATGGTATATATGCATGTACGATTGTGGATAGAACGGTTGCTACACCTTTTTTTTGATGAATTTTGGAATACAGCCTGCTCATCAAGCGATTGATTTTTATTTATGGATATATAAATAAGAACCAATCGCTCAGTTAGCAGACTGCATTCCGAAACCCATTGAAAAAAAAGTGTTGCAACCGTTCTGTCCACGACCGTACATATTATTATATAGTATATATAGGTATAATTCACATTGAATTATTTAAGCATTAAAGATCCAGCCTCAACCATTATTAATTTCTAGTATTGATTGTATTCTCATTCTCACATATACGGTCTAAAATAAGATTCTTATTGTTTATAATCATTTAAATTTGAAACAAACATACAAATAATTTCACAAAATTGTCGATCATTTACACAGTGAGATCTGTAAGATAGTAGGTTTTCATTAATAAAGTAACATTTAGTATGTGAGATGTTTGCCAAATTTCGAACAAAAGAATTTTGAACAAGAATACGAAGTTATAATTATTCAAGTGATGATATTAAATAGATTTGCCAACTTTTTTCAGATAAATAAGAGATATTCGGATAATATTAATTGGTTGCTTTCCGCGCAAAACAATCACGAATTGTTTTATTACATTATTGACTGTTTTTCTAGGCAGCAAAAATATCAGCTGTTCATGAACAAGATAAAGCTTTTCGTTCAAACCTATGGTAACAATCCTATAAAAAATTGTCTCGGCTCTTCTTTTATGGTTACTCAAAGTGGAGAAGTAAATTTATTATAAAATTTATTATAAAAAAATATTTGATATTTGTATGGAACTTTAGTAATACAAATGGTTATTCAATACATTTTTAAAATATTTTCTTACGTGTTTAGAAGTTGACCTAAATAGGGAATATAAAAAGATTGTATTTTTATCTCGTACTATATAAAATATGAAGAAATGAAAAAATAAATTCTTTTAGAAATAAGATAAATTGTAATAAGATTGAAAGACCGCTAATGTTAAACATAATGCTTTAAATTAAGAAGCGCCATAACGGTCAGAACGTTAAGATGTTGAACTATTGTAAATTCATTTAAATGAATTTACAATAGTTCAACATCTTAACGTTCTGACCGTTATGGCGCTTCTTAATTTAAAGATAAATTGTTTTTAGAATAATTGAAAAAATATTGCAGATATAAAAACATCTTTATATTCTCTATATATTTAAATTAATTACTATATAAGAACTAAAAATTAATATTCATAATGTCTTTTATACTTTTACAACGTCATATTGTAATATTTTACATTTCGTAATATATCATAATACAAATATACAACATTTAAATTTTTTATATTTATATGTTTTATCAATAAGTTTAGTAAATTGATAGAAGTTTTGTGTAAATTTTGTTCAATAAATTGGACAATATGTAGCGGTGCAGATAATTCAATACTTTATTAATATTTAGCCTGCTTTTATACTGCATTATTTTATTCTATATTCTATGATATTTTATAATTTTGTAACTAAATTAAATATATTAAATTGTGTGCATATTTGTAATACACCTAAAAATATGTGATAACACTATCTTTATGTAAAAGAAATGTATATGGGCTAACCGAGTCGGAATAAAAGATACAAATGTAAAAAGATGTTCTACTAAGATAAGTCATTCGCCTGATGAGATTGATTGGACCAATACACGCATTGTACAATCGGCCGCATGTAACGATGATAGTATTCTCCTTTTAGCTGGTAAAATACAGGTAATGTTGCGATTATATATAAAATATCGTAACAAGTATAATAATAATAATAATTTATATAATTGTATATAAATATAACGTGGTTATTTAAATTTTAGTTATATCACTTTTGCATAAGCTGCAATGAGTCGCAGATTTTTCTCAGCATGAGAACAATTGATACTGCAGATTTAGACTATAAAATCAGTGGCATTGCTTGCGGCAGATCTTCTTTTGTATTTATTACTTGTGTAGGCGAAATATACCAGTGTATTGATTATGATACTAGTACCGACTTTCATGAAATGTTGATGAAACCACATAAACTGCTTTCTCTCTCACATGAAATAATAGGTAATTTATTTCTCTTCTTAGCTTATTTATAAGATATAAAACTGTATAGATGGATCGAGGATTTATGAACATAATATTATAATTTGAATAATTAAATTTATCTAATTTTGTGATACTTACATAGTTAAGGTAGTCGCAGGATTTGATCATACACTTGCACTCACTGATAAAGGAAAGGTTTATGGCTGGGGTGTAAACACGTATGGACAATTGAACTTTAGTAGTAGAAAATGCAGAAAAGCACGACACGTAAAGTCTCCTTCCAAGGTGAGTTTTTTGTTATTTATAATTCTCATGATAATGATAACTGAAAAATGTATAATAAAGAAAAGGATCTTGTGATTTTTTTAACAGATAAATTTACCTGATGTAAGAAAAGTGTCAGATATCGCCGCCGTGAAATTTATGACCGCTGTCAAATCTAGCGACAATGGACTTGTCTACATACAGGGTTGTTTACATGGAAAAAAAATTAGGCGTTTGGCTGTCTGTGAATATACAAACATATTTGACGTATACAACTCATCAACTCATTCACTAATAAAAGATCGTACATATACAGATGAAGAGTTTAATATGTTGAATGATTTAAGAAATGCGTTCAATGATTGTGTAAGTCTCATTCTCTGTTCTTTTGTTATTCTACTACAATGGATTTGCAATTAATTGGAGACATGCTAAAAATCATAAGAACATCACATTTGTTGAAGATACTAAGCATGTCAGCAGTATCTACTTCAATTCTTTTCTTTGTCCTCTATATAAATTTTTAGCCCATCTTTCACATAGTATTAATCTTTCTCTTCTTATGAATTGATTTATCTTTAACAATTCTTATTTCTTATCTTTGAAGGTCACAAGCGATCTTACAATAAAAGTCGAGGGACAATCTATTTACGTTCACAAGACCATTCTGAAGATGCGTTCTGCATATTTCAAAAACATGTTCGAGTTTAATGGGGTGGAAAGCAGACAAAGGTATTATTTATGAAAGGATTACAGAATCTTTATCAAAAATTTTTTATGTTTGATTCATGTGTTGTACTTTAACGTATTTTTTCGAACAGGATTATCAAATATAATGATTATCCATATAATGTGTATAAAGCTTTTTTTGAGTTTCTCTACACAGGCTGGGTCCCTTTGGAACTCGCAACAGGTCGGTCAATGTTAGTTAAATACACGTTGATACTGTCTTTAACCTTTCGTAATCACACTGGTCAAATTAAATAATCCCAGAGCGCATATGACCAATAATTTTTTTTTCTTTATAAAATGAAAACTGAATACAATCAGTTAAATGCGCTTTGAAGTCATTTTGATTCCGGTGTGATCATTACTGAACTTTTAAGAAGGGTGACCACGAAGAGTTAATTCGTAACTAAAATGAATTTTTCATTACACAGAGCTCTTGACGTTATCTGATAAGTTCTGCATGATAAACCTTGAGAAAAAATGCATTAAAAAACTAAAAAAGGATATGGATTCATTAGACGTATCCTCTATCAAGAAAATGGCAATAATGTATAATAAGAAGGTAACTGTATATCACTTTTCTTCTATTATTTCTTTTCCAAGATATTATTTAATTTATGATGAACTTGATATATTGTTCAACTGAAATTTAATTCTTTTCTTGTTTCTTCTATACCTTTTTTATTCTTGTTTTATTGCACAATAGAATATATCTTTTTATTGAAAATTCTTTAAGAAAATATAATGATATTATATACGAAGTGACAAAACCACTAATAGAACCCCAACTTATACCAACTGCTCTGGTCTATTCAATCAGTTTCATGGGCACATCCAGCGGAAGGGCTCGAGAGTTCAAATTCCAAAATTTTTTATTCATTTTTTATTTTTAATTATAAACAAATAAAATTGTATTTTTAATTCTGACAAGGAAAACCCAACTGCCCCGCTCCGATTTTAATGAGCTTTTAGTATGTTATTCTCCATAAAAATAAGAGACACGTATTTTTTTTATACGTGCCCATACGCACTTTTTTAGGGGGTGAAATACCCCCTTTAGAAAAAAATCGGATTTTCTCTTTCAAAGCGAATATCGCCGTAACTGTAAGATATAGAAAAAAATTTCGAAATAAAAATTGAATGGCATTAAGAGTACTTTAGAACTAAAATAAAAAAATTTTTTTAGTTATTTATTTATAATAAAAATTATTTATAAAGAAAAAAATTTGTTTATTATATTTCTAAAGTATTCCTAATGCCATCCAATTTTCATTGTGAAAATTTTTTTGTATCTCTTACAGTTCCGGCGATATTCGCTTCAAAAGAGAAAAATCAATTTTTTTCCAAGGAGTGTTTTACCCTTTAAAAGTGCATATGGGCACGTATAAAAAAATACGTGTCGCTTATTTTTATCTGGGCATAACTAAAAGCTCATTAAAATTGGAAGGGGACAATTGGGTCCCTTTCCTTGTGAGTAAATTTTTTTGTTGTCACAAAAAATGATTTTTTCTCATCTTTACAATCATGTAAGTTTTGTCAATATCTGATAAAAAAAGTTTTCGCGAGATATGTTTTTAACAAAAAACAATATACGCTGAAATATTAATGAATACTCCATTCATAATTACATACATTTTGTTTTCAATAACTATATCTTGCTTATACTTTCTTTAGGAAAAAAATTGTGTGAGATTTCCAAAATCGAATATTTTTTGCATTCAAATCGGGAAGAAGGAGACATTCTAAACCCTAAAATATTCAAAAAAGCAATTATTAGCGCAAAACAATGCTGTTTATGTGATAACAGATTTGTTAAATCATTTTTATTAATTAGACCCCTCCCGAAAGAAATTCTGGATACGCCCGTGATCATTTTTAATGCTAGAATTCATTAACTGTAAAAAATATATCTCTTTATTCTGTATACTTATTTATTTATGTGTCATATATAATTTTCAGGAATTGGAAGAATACTGTCATTTCTATGAATTAAAAAACGCATTTAATCCTATGGAGATGTTCTCTTGAGTATGAAATATAATAAATAATAATTCTATTTCTTTAAACTATTCTTATCCTTTAATAAAATTTTATGAATACATTTTATAAATTATGTTGTGTCATTGTACATTTTACTCCAAGCATTATTTATAAATTTTTCATAAGACGTCCCTAAAAATAATCGTGTCTCACCCTTATAGATATATGTAAAAAATGTAAGAGAGAGAGTTTGTAAAAGATTTTTTTTAATAAAAAATAAACATATTTCAAATTTCTAATATTTTTTTTAGTAGTAAACAATATAAAGTTTTTATTGGTATTTACCTTAAATATAGTAAATAAGAATAGATAAATATAAAACTTGATAAATTAAGTTTTCATAGGTGCAACATATATACCTATTAGTATATACCGGAGTTACCTACACTGAAAAAAAGATCGACTGCTGCAGCAAATTAGATGGTAAAATATGGCATAGCATTTTTAATTGGCTGCAGCAGCCAATTTTTGGTTGCGTTAGCCTATCCGCAATGTTAGTATAGGATTTCGATAGGGTAACACAACCAAAAATTGACTGATACAACCAATTAAAAATGCTATGCCATATTTTACCATCTAATTTGCTACAGCAGCCAATCTTTTTTTTCAGTGTATGCTTCGAAATTGTGGCTTGCTAAATATCGTCCAATTGCGATTGCTGTATTCGATTCATGTGTATACTTTTGCAATTTGTGTTACAAATTAGATTTGAATTCTCAAGCAAAAAAGTCGACTTAAAGAATCTATCGTCTATCTAGTATCATTTCCGCTAAATCTCGTACGATTTATTTTTGACTTTATAAATAGCACTTACTCGTATGGTGGGTGTTTTCTGCATTGCCTTAGGCAAATTGGTTACGCTCGATAGAACGCAACCAATCGATACTATGTGAAGCATTAAGGCGTTCGTCTCTATTTAAAAAAGTGCCTGACTCGAGAAAAAAAATAGGGGCGCTGTGTGTGAGTCATCGGACACCATTAAGCACCACACAGGTTACGATATCAATGACTTACATCGTTCCGTATTACAGGCCGTGAATATAAGGCCAAAGTATCCGTCCTCGTACTTCCGGTCCGCACGCGACTTATGCACGTGAAGGCACGTGGCGTAAATCGAGGTGTTTACGTACACACATGCGTGCCAAGAAGTGCACATGCGTGTGCCTGCGTTGCTCTTCGAGGGAACGGACATGCCTTGTCGACACTCTTCGGTATTCGTATCTTTTTTTGTTGCATAAGATCGCTATTTGCGCCGCACAAAATATAACGCCATTAGCCGAGATAGGACGCAAAATTATCTGACCGCAGATTTGAGCGGAACATGCACGTGAGAAAAACGGGAGACAAATATTATATTTAGGATTCTTTTCGCGGATAAAAGGAATTCTATTTGTTATAAAATAAATAAAATCCAAATTGGTATTTGCTCCGAGATTTCCTTAATTGATATTTTTGGGGCCAATGTAACAATAATTATAATTATAATAATAGCTTCATTGAATGTAATATGGCTTACAATGTTATTCGAATGCTATTCTTTATTTAAGTGAACTTAATTTAAATTAATATATCTTTGCTAAAGTTAACGTGATTGAACAATTTTTTATTTTGAAGATTAAAATCTGAGAAATAAAATTACGTGACTTACGTAATGTTGGGAAAAGCATTTATTATAAATTATAAAGAATTTTTCACAACGTAATTGAAAAAAAATCCACTGAACCTAATAATACCAATGAAAAACGTCAGATTTATGTATGCTATTTACACATATCAAATTAAAAAAAAAAATACATGTGATTAATTTTTGTGTTTTGCGATTTCGAGGCGATCGCCACATCGGTGTCTGGCTTCGACCGACTAAAGCCCAGTACTTTCTATCGGCAAATATTTATTCATAATTTCGTTTCAATCATGCATATACGCGCGTTGATGTTGAGTGGATTTAGCCGCTGGTCAGTCCATCTTCTGGACAAACAACGCCGCGCGCGGGAGGGAGTAAGGACACCTCCGTCCCAACGTCATACCAAACGCACGCATACGAGCGGTGTCCCCATGCGTAAAGCAAACACGCATAAAATTACGTGTTCGTAGCTCTCTCGTACCAGTCGGCGGACGAGCGGATGTATTCTTAGAAAAACACGAGGCACGATTGATATGGGATGGACCACCGCGATATACGATATTTGCCCGGCCGCGGTCGATCGCGATTGCAACAATATTAGAATTTCCGCAACAACGCCCGAAGTTCTTTCTTCTTCTCTTTATTTCTCTCTCTCCCTCTCTCTCCCTTTCGTTTTTGTTTTTCCCCTTGCAATTATTTATCGAGAAAGAATGACGCAGGAAGATTCACAATTTGACTGTACTGATTTCTATAGAAACTTGTAATTATTTTGCAATATTTTCTTATTTTACGAAATATATTTTTAATATATTTTCGCTAGAATATGTATTGATTAAGAAATAGAAGATTTATTTCTTAATATTCTTTGTAAAAATGTTTTAAATTCAATATTTAAAGGCATTTTAATAAGTAATTCATATATTAAAAGCTTAATTTTTTTTTTATTTGAAAAAATTTGTTTTTCTAACATGTACATTATTATGTACATTTTGTATCAGAAGAGATCAGATCATCTCCAAAAGAGCGAAATCTCACTCCAAAGGATTTAAAGAGTACATCCTTAACATGACTCTTGAACTATTACGCAACTTGCATCTCGCGGAAACGAGGCACGCCGGATGGGCTGGTTTCTGCTCGACAAAAGTTAACGATGTATCGGTCAAAGCAGTGGTCAGTCACTCCCCCGATCGACAACTTGACCGGCCACCACCGACAGTTGGCGGCTACCGACAATCGTTCGATAATTGGCAGACATTGTCCCGCGCACGCGGTCCGACTCGGAGCTGAACAGAGGACCGTCCTATGCTTTACGATTTGTTGATCACCGCCGCGATCGTGACGCGGACTGATCGGAAATATGAATTTATCACCGATCACGTTACACCAGCGAGATGACGGCCAAGCGGTGTAATCGATTATGAGGAGGCGTTTGCATTTGCGGTCCACTCGTTCCTCCTGATGTTTGCCCTCGTAAATTTGCCGCGATGACTGGATGTTGTACCGCCGCAACAACGTGAAATTGAGAAAATCCCCGAACGGGGATTATCGTGGAAATCACGTCATGCGTATGTCTATTATTTCACAAACTTGAAGAATTAATTCTGTACGCGTAATGGATACTTCAATAACGGTTTTTCATCAATTCCAGCTTGTTACATTGAAAAAAATGTACTTCAATAAATATGCATAGTACTAATAAAATATTTACTAAATATAAACATATATTTATTTGATACAAAAATTATTAATTTGATTCAAGTCTTTTTCAATAAGTAAAATTTATTTACTGTAAGTAAATGTTTAGTACCATTTAAATAAATATTTATTAAAATTTAGTAAATTATTTTTAGTGTACTTATTATACATTATTTGTCACAAGATGTGCATTATTTACGTAAATATATATAAACTTTATATAAATAATATTTGTTCTATTAGTATTATAAGTTTTGATTTATTTCTTGTTGGTTACATAACATTTCACTGTTATGTAATCATTTATTACGAATTTAATTCATAAGCCGCAAAAAAAATTAAATTTTTTTTGTATTTAAAAGATATACAAATAGACATTTTAAAAAGAATTTTTCCATGATTGATTGGCTAATAAATTTTTTCATTAAAATCTTTATCTCGATTAATTTCATTTAGTTAAATCGACATGCGTATAATAAGATTGTACAACACGAACCAGACATCTTTGTATCCCAATTAAGAGCACATAGGGCGGCGGGATTCTCCTGATTTTGTCGAATCACGAGCTAGCACCATCTGTGTCCTTTGCGCCTTTTGAAAGATCGATCAGCCATCGACAAGTCACATTCGCACTTAACATTAAATTAATCGGTTTCGATTACTCCTCTATTGATTTTATGACGAGACTTCGCTACATCAAGACATCCCCCTTAACGTCGTGCCTAACGTTTCCAGAAAACACAAATCATAATAAGATCAACACATCAAGTAGAAGTCATGTTAGAAAAATTACAATAATGACATTTGATATACTTTTGACGATAATTTTGTGATAATTCTTAATATGATAATAATTTTTAGTGATTTTTTAATTATAAAGTATTATATCGAATGCCATTATTATGATTTTTCCTAAAATGATTTATACTTGACGTCATTTGAATCTTATTATGATTTTCTTAACTAAATTTTATTAGCTAAAAAATTACTTGAATATCACTGTGATGTCAAGAATTCATCATAAAATCATTGTTAAAAGTGTATAAAATAACATTATTATAATTTTCCCTAAAATAACTTGATGTCATCCTAATCTCATTATAATTTTCTACACTGAAAAAAAGGATTAGTTGCTGCAGCAAATTAGATTAGAGGTAAAATATGGCATAGCATTTTTAATTGGCTGCAGTAGCCAATTTTTGGTTGCGCTAGCCGCAATGTTAGTATAGGATTTCGATAGGCTAACATAACCAAGAAATGACTGCTGCAACCAATTAAAAATGCTATGCCATATTTTACCATCTAATTTGATGCAGCAGCCAATCTTTTTTTTCAGTGTACCTGGGTTTGATCTTTACATTAATCAAAGGAAATAAATTAATGTTCTTGACAAAAGTTCTTGTTTTACAGAAGTTGAATTTACTGTTGAACTCTTGAAATACGGATCGGAGTATTTGACGTGTGAGTAATCGTTCAATATGTTACCAGGACGAAGTACTGTACATAAATTACTTTTTTCAAAGCGACTTTACGGTTCATTTGCTATCATTTCCCGAGTTCTCACCGTAATAAAAAAAAATCGCTCACTTTTTCCGTTTTAGAAAAAAAAACTGCATTTTGGGGAAAATAACGCAGCACTCTCGAGCGGCGTGTGATTGAATTTAAATGC